AAACATTTTTCAGTTAACTTAATCAAATTTATTTGCGGAAGCACTAAAGTATAGAGTTAGGCGTTTTAAAAATAACCTCCAAAAATTTTTATTATTTTTGCAACTACTGTTTAATATATATAAGGAAATACTTAAATATTTATCAAACATACCTATTAAGATGATAATAGTGAAGAAAAGTGAGGAAAAATGTTTTTGTTTATCAAATTAAGATACAATAATTACGTCCGTAATTACATTACCTTTGCTTGATAGGTATAAAAGCGATGAGTTAGACGCCCTAAACAGAGATTTGTAAAAGTTGTCAGAGTAATGACATGCAAAATAGTAGCAAACATTTATTGTCCAGATCTCTTCAGACATAGATTTAACTTCTTAGGAGATTTCTCCTGCTTATATTTATCAAATATGACTAAAGAGGAGGATAAATTGTTTATTTATTATGCCACAGTCCAGCTCTCTTCAGACATAGATTTAAATGCTTTATAGATTTCTCTAGTGTAGATTTATTAAATATAGCTATAGAGGAGGATAAATTGTTTTCATGATACCATAACGAGTCTTTTGGCTAAGTGAATCCCAAGTTTCTCACTAGGGACTGTCATTATCATTATATATATATATTAATATTAGTGGTATTAGAATTTTTATTTTTCTTTTAATGCAAAAATAGTGTAATATTTCAATTTTAAAACTTGTCTTACATTTAATTTATGTTATTAATAAATAACTTACAAAATATTTACACATTAAAATATTATTAGTTATTGAACTGAAGGCATGGCCCAAAAGCCGTTTGCCAGCAAACTAATTAACTTATAATATAAAGTAGTATTTTAAATCAAATCAAAGTATATTTAACAATATATTAAAATAGTATTGTAGTTCTTTTTTTCTCTTCTTTATTGTATTTTATTTAAATCTAAAAACTTTCATTTATTATTCTTTGTCTGTAACAAATTCCATCTTTTACATAGCCAGAAAGTGCGGCCCAGTTTTCCCCGTTTAATGCCTCTAATATTTTCTCCTTTGTGAGAATGTGTTTTCTATAGAATTTGTAGCGCATTTCTTTCAGAATTGGACATAATACAATTTATGGGATTAACGCATTTCTTTCATAATTGGATATAATCCAATAAATTGTATTATGTCCTCTGGCTGGTCTAGATTACATAATGAACAATGTATTGAATTTACTTGCACATATGGTCTATAATTTAACTTAAGGAGTTCGTCCCGAGTTTTAAAAATTTGGCTGATAGTTTCAATAGAATAATCATCCTTAAAATAATTCCGGTTGCGTTATTCATATTCCAACCTTCTGTAAGCATGTCAATAATCACTTGCCCTTGCTGCGAATGTAAATTTAGCTCCTTCTTTCGCAATAATTTTTATCACTATATTACTATAAATACTATAAATTTTTAGAGATTTGATAGATATATATGTATAGATATATAGGTATATATCTCATGAAAACCGAATAGCTCACATCTGGCTGAAGAAAAGGTTAAATTTTCACCATGGTACCACAATGGACCCTCTGCCTAAGTGTAAGAAATAAAAAAATCTGTCGAGTTTAAAAAACAAACTCATGTGTTAACGCAAACAACCAACATAAATTTATTTTGCTGTATTCAAATATCGAGTTTTATAAATTTTCATTATTAGTTGTAATCTAATGTCTGTTAAGACGGAAGTGACGTTTTGTAAAGTAGCGAACTACAACACAAATTCTTTTTATATTATTTTAATTACTTGAGTTTTTGTCTTACCACACAGCAGTTTCAATAAATTTTTATTGGTAATTTAAAAACAAAAGATACACTTATTTTGCTATTTTCCAATAAACGCTGTATTTAAAATAAACTGACCAGACACTGTAAAGTATGTAAAGCAAATAAATAATATGTTATTGCACTGTAAAACTGTACTTTTGGATTCAAACGTATGTGTTTAAATATATATTAAAATTAGGTTGAAAATAACCATCAATAATATTTGGATTTTATTTTTAATTTATAGTATACGGCATAAATTATTTCTTATAAAACATAACTGTTTCTAGCACAATTATGTTTTTATGTAGCACTAATATTGCAATATTACTGTTGTGAAAAATGATAGCATTTTGAGTTACATTCAAGTAAATTAACAAATAAAATTACGTTTTCACAAATATAATCAGTAACCCATAAATTCTGATCTCTTTTAAATGAACCTTGATATTTATCAGAAAAATAAAAAAGCGTGACTATATGTTTTCTCTGCATACAGTTGATAGATAAATTAGATTACTGCCATGTATCAGGTAAATATATGTCTTTTTTAATATTATAGTTATTTATAGGTATATCATTTTAGAGGACTGAATATAATCGTATAAAATAAAATAAAAGCCTTTCAAAAGAGAGAAGAGAGTGAGAGGGAGAGAGAAAGAGAAGAGAAATTATCTCAGAAGTATTCATATGAAAACAAATGATATACTCACTAGTCTAAAAAACTATGTATTTATTAAGTTTCAGAATCAATAATTTATTAAGAGTGACCAACATCAGATTCTCAAGATACGATAGCCAAGTAATAACCATTTGTGGACTATAATTACACAGCCCCCAATTGATATAAATAGAGTGAGCTATGTCAATCAATAAGAGTTCCTTCAAAAATGAGGATTCAATTAAACCCAATGTAATGAACAGCAGAAAAACAGGTGAACTATCATTATTGCAATTGTGTACAGTGGCTAGTGAAGGGGAAAGAATGTCCATTAAGCCGCTACCATCATTCAAAGAAGGGCGTTAAATGATTTACAAGATGAAAACGTTTATATTGCATATTATACTAATACATATCTGATTAATAATACTGTGGATGTCAAAAATCTCTCTGGTACTCTGAGCATCAGTTATATTTGCGATATCATTTATTAAAAGCAATGTAATGACATAATAACAGCTTCAAATCTTTCGTGATAAGACTTAAAATGAACACTCAAATGTATGTAATAAAAAAATACATTATATAAAATGATGATTTATTCATAAAATTAAAAATACAAGTTTATTCTAATAATAATGAGGATAAAATATTTTAATCGGAGCTTGTCCTTACTCTCGAAATATTTTTACTCTTTGATTTTTGCATAACCATAAGAACTATCCAAACCATCTCAACTTTCTTTATTATTTCTTCTCTGCTCATAAAATGCGTTGCCCAGAGTGTTGGCTTGAGGAGTTTAAATAGGAAGAAATAGCAATAAGCCATTTCACTAATTCAATAATTTAGAAAGAGAAAGACTTAGCTGTCCCTTTTAAAGTTTTCTCTGTTGTACTTAAGCTAGCGCTTGTTCCAACTGTATATAGCTTTTTCTAAATATGTGTCGCCGAAATATCGAATAATAATCTGACTATAGAGAGGTTTCGAAAAATAGTGAACTACAAAAACAAAAATTCTTTTTATATTATTTTTAATTAATTGTGGA